AAAACACACTTATTTTAAGAAAAAATAACTTATTGAGATTTCTATTTTTTGCAGTGTTCTGAAAACAGCAACTCAGCAGTGGGCTAAGTTTGAAATTTTATTTTATTCTGTGACTCTTCTTTCTAATCATTTATAGAGTTTCATCATAGTAATCTTATAGGGCATTTTAGCATTTTTTTATGTTTAAAGGAAAATTAGAAATTAAAAGTAAACAATAAAAATGTGTTTAATTTGGATGAAGTTTAGGTGAACGTTGACCCCTGTTGTTCATAGGTCAGTATTGGTAGCCCTTCCTATGATTCAGTAGCCATGAAGTAGCCCTCAGCCCTGCTCTACGTTATGAAATCCTCCTTTCAAAAACTGCATTTTTTTCTTTTCCTAATTAATCTTTAGGCCAATATAATCGTAATTATATCAGCCAAAAAAAATTATTATAATAGTTTTTTGATTATTTGATTCATTTAAGGGTAAAGAAAGCAAAAAAAAGCAGAAATCTATAACAAATGGCTTCTTAATTTAACAGATTTGTGTCAGAATTTACAAATTCAAAGACTACAGGTCTACAAAGAGCTTATACGTCGACAGTTCTTGGTTCGGCACCTAGAGCAGCAGCTTCTGGCTTTTCTAGAGAGGTCTTTCCTCCTGTTTGCGTGCCAGCTAGTGTCTCTCATGTCATTCGCTCTGCACAAAAAGAAACCGTCAGAGAGAAGTTTGATGTGCAGAACAGATAAGGAAGATAAGTTCATAACGTGATCCACGCCTGGCTAATCCTTGTGTTTCACCTCACCTCCTGTTAGCAGACCTTTATGTTCCCTCTGTGACTCGTTATAAAAAAAAAAAAAAAAAAACACTGTTTCAGTTACATGTTGTTTTACAATCCCTTTCCCGTGCTTCCCTTTCTGTCACTTCTCCATAATTCTTGGTATTTCAGTTAGACAAGCCCGCTTTCTGAAGCTTCCCCTTTTTTCCATAGATTCCTATATTTCATGATTTCCACTTCTTCCTCTTCGGTTGTACAAACAGAGGCGAAAGCATGGGGAAATCAGGCTGCTGCTGAGATGTGCAAACCACAGTTTGGTAGCTGTGGGACTTGCATGATCCTCTCACACATTTCTAAATGTCCTCTGGTAGGAAAAGCAGGAGAAGGCGGTTTATTGCACATGAAGCTTCTCTTTTCTGATTACTGTGGAAAACCACGAATCAAATAAAAAGCCCTTATATATTTGTGGTTGGCATTTATGCATAGGCTTAGAGTTTTTTTTGTTTTTTGTTTTTTTTTAACTAGGCTAAGGTTTGCGCCTATAAGTAAGATAGTAAGAAGTGTTGCTCTGATAGTTACAGTCCCTGTAGTTTGACACTGCTTCCTGTTTCCTGTTTATCATGCTGTCATTTGCTTCACCAAAGTGTGATGGTGTGAGATGATCAGCTCGTTGCAGCAACTCATTTCTGACGTCCTGAATAAGCAGGCAGGCCTTCCACCTGTGAGTCCTGATAAACTCGCCTCCCCCTGCAGAAAGCAAAGAGAAACAGCCTGTAGATGGGTAGGTTGACCCTCGGCTGATTTTGGCTCACACCAAAAAGCCTAAAATAGGAGGGAATTTCTTCAAGCAGCACATAGAAAATGTCGCAGCCTGTAGAGAACGATCCTGTAGGTATTTTGCAGTGCAGAGTTGTTTTAAAATGAGTCATTTCCAGCAGGAGAAATTAAAAAGACGAATGAATAAGAAAATTAAGGGATAAACATAAAATAATGAAGCAACAGCAAGTCAAGACATGTTAGATTAAAGTGTCCTCCAAATGTATTTACACATCTCAAATATTTCCACATTTTGTCTTTCATTAGAATCTTATGCGATAAACCCAAAAGAAAAGTTGTACTTTGTTTTAAAGCAGAAGTAGAAAATGATTTTAATGAATAAAGAAATGGAAAGTGTGTCAGGCATATGAATTCTGCCTTCCTTACTCTAATGTCTCAAAACGAACTGCCTTCAGAAATACCCTGTGTTTAATATAGTCTCAGGATAAATAAAGATGTTTGAAGGATTTAGAGGAATGTTGCAGAACATTAGGAATAAAATAGAATGAAAACCAGGAGAGCAGAGAGGTTTACAGCAGGGTTAGGATCTAAAACAATAGTCTGATATAGTGAGAAACCTACTAATATATGGATAACAACCTAAACCGTCCCAACATTCTTTGACCAGAGAAGCAGCCAAAAGGCTCATGATGGTTATACACTGTAAAAACCAGCCGATATTTACTCTCAGTTCTATTCAGTCAATTTTAATATTTGAAAAAATAAAACAAGAAAAAATAAGTCAAGTGTACAAAAATGTAAACGATTCAGTACGGAAAGGCCTCAGGGTGGCTTCTAAACCTTGATCTTTATGTTGTAACATCAGTATAAAGACTGTACCTCCATCCAAGGCTGCAAAAAAAAAAAAAATCAAATAAATAAGGAAACTAAATCCTGATTGTTTCAATGCATTTAGATTTTAGGAACTGATTTTGGACATTGCAGTGTTATCTTATTCTGAAGGGCTCAGCAGAGCTGTTACTTCCTGGTGCATGCTCTCCCATTGGCCAAAATCTTTGAGTAAATTTTTTTTATTTAATGTTGCATTTGCTACAAAATGCAACAAAAAAAATTGGATTTTCCTGTTATAATAAATTATAAATATATAAAGGTGTTTTTATCATGGATTGTATTTACCATCAATCAAAATCACTTTTTTAGAGTGTGGGAAACTTTTCTGTTGAAAATTAACATTCTGTATCACTCTAAAACACGGCAGTGGCAGCATCATATTTAAGGAACGCTATGCTTTACTCAGAGTTCAAAGGAATATGGACGAAGAACAATACTGAAAAAAAAGATTATTAGAGTTTGCAAGAAAAAAAAATATTAAATCAAACAGTTTCTTTGCCTGATTTGAACATTTTACAAAGCAGTAGATACAAAACCCTGCAGCTGAAATCACTGCAACGAGCCGTTCTTTCCAGTATTAATTAATAGGGAATGTAAACAAATGCATGCCACACTTTTCAGATTTTCATTTAAAAAACAATTTTGAAAGCCTCCTTTATTATTCCACTTTGCTACTATGCATTACTTAGTGTTGGTTTGTTGCATAAATTCCCAATTAAAGTCTAGTATTTGCAGAAATAATGCGACAAAATGTGGAAAAGTTTGTGAGATACGAATACTTTGGGGAAGTTAATGTATAATAAAGCAATGAAGCGCTCCGGTCATAAAATAATATCTTTACAGCAATAATTAGTAATTAGCTTCTCAACATAACAAAGGTTATCCCAGATCCTGACAGAAAACCCTTTCTTGTAAATGCAGATAATAAATATGAGAGCAGAAATGAAACCTTATCAGTGAGAAAGAAAATAACCACTGAAATCAGAATCAGAGTAACTTTTAGGAAATTGGCCCCGATGACCAGAATCCTGCAGGTTTTAAATGAACTTATGAACTGAATGAATCACAAAGTTTCAGGCTGTGAGGAGAATGAAAGGATTCATTTAAATATACCAGGATGATCATGACTCAAAGTTCCCATCTTCTAGAGTTTTACATGATAACAGAACTATGAAGGTATTCTAAACCGTGGCCCCCCCCCTGCCCTCTTTTCCAGCCTGTAACATTAAAGTTGAGGCTCGCAGTGATGAGGAGAGTGGGCTGGCCTCTGACATGAATGGCGTGGAGGAGGAGGAGTGCGCGGAAGACTTGCGCGTGGTCGATCCCTCCGGGGCCAAGGTGAACGGCTCACAGCCGAGTCCCGAAGCCAAGGCCTTCTCCTCGGCTGGCGGTATCCGGCTGCCCAACGGGAAGCTCAAGTGTGATATCTGTGGGATAGTTTGCATTGGCCCCAATGTGTTGATGGTGCACAAGCGAAGCCACACCGGTAAGCCGCCTGCAATATTTCTTGCTCTTCCTTTGCACCCATGTTTACTGTGACTATGAAAGGGAGGGGACTGTGTGGTGTTGCGCTTCCTGTTCTTTTTAAGATCTGATAGAGGCATCGGCAAAAGTCTCAGTGCGGTTTTGCACTGCATTTTTTTAATATGAGTAATTATAAAATGTAGCAGAATGCCCTCAATTCTCCTAAAAACTCCTATGCATTGATGAGCACAACATTAGACACAGATAAATCAGCCGGCTGCAGATCAGACACTGATTCATTTCAGTCAGTCAGCAGGTCAGCTACGAAAAAACATCATTTTCTTCTACCTTCTGAATAAAATGCATGAAATCTAAGAACTCCCAACATCTCCAGTCTGCAAAAGCAACAATCAGCACATTTTCATGCACTTTTAAATCATAAAAGTGCATCAAAATGTCATGCACTTTTATGCATCACATTTTGTATAAAGTTTAATGATTTTTTCTAGCTTAAAAAAACAAACAAAAAATGATCAAAGAACCTGCAGAACATAATTTCTGGTCTTTGTCTAGATGTTTTAATCATGGAGAAGAAAATAGCGATGCACCAATAAATCAGAAAGAAAACACAACTCATTTATCTGCAGGTCAAATATTACAAATTCTACTTTTTACAAAATGTAGAATAGTTTTTTGTTTATATATGATAAAATCTAGAAAAGAAAATGAGGCTCACTCAAAACCAACCAGGTACCAGTATCAGCCAGGAAAAGCTTAATCGGTGCAAATAAACAATCTCTCCTGTCATGCATGACCGATTTTCAGCATCACATTTAACATTCATCAGTTTTCACTTAAAGATCTCCTAATAACGACCTGACAAACCCTAATTATCCACTAGTTACTGTGCAAAAAACACAACCTGAGTTCAGAAACAGGATATCTGCTGCAGATAAATGGAATCTACCCCAAAGCGACAATTATCTGACTATTAAAAGTTTTTCAAAAATTCAGAATTGATATGCTATTGTAATGGAGCCAAACCAGTGGTGGGGAACATTTGCGAAAAAACCATTTAACTGTCAAGCTTCTGAAACTAATGAAACTCAAAATGGAAGAAAGGAACACTTGACTAATGTAAATGCAAAAGAAAGTACCCAAAGAGATATAATGAAATGGCTCCTATTTAAAAAGAAAATATTCTGCACTACGTCTTTTGCTCCTGAAATGCATTTTTAATGATTTTCCCTTTATATTTTTGCTGCTTCACTGGCGACTCTTATTTTAAGGCGGGCTTTTGAAAGAAAAAAAAAAAAAAAGAAGGCCATATTATAACGTTTTCAGAGAATGCCACAACACGCGGAAAGGCTGGATATTGGTTTATTCCAGAGGCGCTGATCAGGAAGACTGGCTCTCAACACAAACTGTTTCCCCAGCTTTATTCAAATGAGGCTGAATTTGCATGGTGATGTGGTGCTCTTATTTTAGAGACGAAGAAGAGGCAAAAATGAGATTTTCAGATCAAATTGACCTAAGCAATGGTGCATTACGGAGCTGGCAGGCTGAGTCTGAGAGGCTCTTGTTCGATCAGAGCGCCAGGAGTCGATGAGGCAGGGGGAGCACGGAGAGATGGAGTGTCGCTGCGCTGTGAAACCCTCCCACCGGCTGCTGGATCGCTGTCTGCCCCGGAGACGCTCCATCATCCAGCTTGTTCTGGCGCTCAGAGCGCTTGTAGATCAGTGACCCTGCAATCCTGCAGCCGCCAGCTCTGCATCCACAGAACTTTGTGCTTGAACAAAACAGTTGAGAAGAATTAAGAGGGAAAGATAAAAGTAATCGGTTACATAAACAAATATATATTTGTTGCAGCTGTAATGCCCCCTTTATATTTCCCATTTCTTCTACTGTATGTGTTTTACCTCTTTGCATTCAGGAGTGTTTGTCTTCTTTCTTCTGTTGCCTTCAGGCGAACGCCCGTTTCAGTGCAGCCAGTGTGGCGCCTCTTTCACCCAGAAGGGTAACCTACTGCGTCACATCAAGCTTCACTCAGGGGAGAAACCCTTCAAGTGTCACCTGTGCAGCTACGCCTGTCGCAGGAGGGATGCCCTCACTGGCCATCTGCGCACCCACTCAGGTAGGCATGCAACGTCCACCCACAAAAACATAAAAAACTTCTAGGAAAACTAAGGGCTAAACAACTTCTGCTGTGGACTCAGTTCTTTTTAAGGGGAAGTTGACAGCATGGAGTTATGGTGCCTTTTTTTTTCTCTTTTTTGCAAATGCTTTGCAGAAGTATGTGCTAATGAAATTTGGTGTAAACAGCCTACTTGCTCCAAACTGTTTAGCGGAAGAGCAAAAGGATTACCTGACAGGAAAGAGCCGTGCATGTTTCACTGCATTAGGAAAAACAGAAGCTGCCAGGTTTAAAATATCAGCTCTGATCTGTAGCGAATCCTTATTCTGAGGCACAGATAGAAAACATCAATCTAAATTAAATGTCCAGTAAAACATGCAAAAGAATGAGAACTAAGATAGAGTTATAGCTTTGATTTTATCATATCAAATTTCAGATTATTTAACCTCTTTTATAATTTTTTAGACAGTGACTAAGTTGATTACTTTTATTTAACTATCCATATTAGTTTATTTTTGTTTCAGCTGCAGAAATCTTGTTTTTACCTATTTATATACTTTTTATTAACCTATATATATATATATATATATATATATATATATATATATATATTTTTTAGATAAAGTTGAAATATTTTTCTGAATCATTTTACTACTATTTAAGCAATTCTGACCCTTTGTTTGGAGTTGAATTTAAATTGTAAATTACAATAATTACAACATTTTCCAAACTCATCATTTTAATTGCTATATTTATTTATTATCTTGCATTACTTAATATTATGTCAATATTTTTATTTAATACAAACATATTCTATATTTGCTTTTTTTAAGTATTTAGTTTGTTTCAGTTGTTAATCCCATATTTATTCTTAAAACCAACTCAAAGCAATCTGATTTTTTTATTAGTAAATAAGAAACATAAATTGAAAAAAACCTTCTTTAAAGGAGAAAACTTTCCTATAAAGAAGTCAGTTATAGAAATATGTTTATCATAAAAAGTACATCCTATTTATATGTCTTTATCTAGATCTTTTTTTCTCCTTTCTGCTTTTTAGTCGGAAAACCACACAAGTGTGCTTACTGTGGCCGGAGCTACAAGCAGCGCAGCTCCCTGGAGGAGCACAAGGAGAGGTGCCACAACTACCTCCAGTGCATGGGACTGCAAAACACCCTCTATACGGGTTTGTAGCTCAAAAACCTTCCTTTCCTTTTCTTCTGAAATATCATACCCCAACAATACTGATCCGTCTGAGTGCCCTTTGTAATCCACATAATATTAGAGGCATGTCTGCATTCTGTAGGTATTTGACTTTAGAACGCATGAGCAAATACTCAGTTTATAGACCAAGAGCTTCACATGTCAGAACAGTCCGCTCTCTGCCCTACATACAGTAGATATCTAGAAAAATACCATCTGGCATGTATCATCAGGTTCCACCTCATCATCTGAAGAAAAAAAGAACCAGTTCAAAATTACTCTGATGCTAAAATCTACTTTTCTGTCTTGCTTTCCAGTAGTAAAGGAAGAAAGCAGCCAGAATGAGCAGAGGGAAGACTTAAGCCAGACGGGATCTGACAGAGCCTTGGTGCTAGACAGACTAGCTAATAATGTAGCTAAGCGTAAGAGCACTATGCCCCAGAAGTTTGTGGGTAAGGGCTGCAATCTGCTTCTTTTGTGTGAATAAAATGCTTTTATTTTTGTTAGCAAATTGGTGCAGCAGCAGCAATGTCCTTTGTGTTCGTTATGCCAACTGGGCTCTGCACAGTGCATGCATGCCGACTTAGTCTGTTAGAATATCTTAAGATAGATAATCAACTGTTAGATAGGCTTAATAATCCTAGCAAAATAAAAAGGAGGAAATGTGACATGCAGGTGCAAGACCAAAAAAACAAAAAACAAAAAGAAAAAGAAAAAATACCAAAAAATAAAAAAAAAAAAAAAAAAAGTAGCATATTTTGGGTTAAAGGTTAGAGAAAAAAGAATTTTTGGACAAGTGAGACCAAAATTACTGCAAAGTTTCCGGCCTGAACGTACTTTTTTGATGCTAATACCTAGAAAGCTCACCCCGAACATGCCATCCCACTGCTAACACGGTGATGGCGTAGCCATGCTGAGGGAAGCTTGATTTTGTAGATGCTAGGAATATAGTTGGAGATACGTACAGGTCAAGATCCTAGAAGAAAAACTTGTAGAAGCTGCAAAATGCAGAAGAACTGGGCGGAGTTCACCTTCCAATAAAACGGCTTAGATCAATGCATATTTATGTCCAGTTAAGAATATGAGGATTCATGTTTGAAGATGATCTTCGTTATTTTTTTAACCAACATGAATGATGAAAACTAACCCAGCCTGTAATGGGGTGGTGGCAGCATCATGCTGTGGGGATGAATTTTCTTGGCAAAGATACAGAAGCCGGTCAGAAATGAAGGTTAGGTGGATGGAGATTAATGCAGGAAAAAAACAGAAGCAGAAGAAGACTTGAGAATGGGCTGAATGGTTCGTCTTCAAGGAGAGCAGCAACACTAAAAAAAAAAGAAAAAGAAAGATGGTTGTACTAATGAGAGATGGCAGGCTTTAATTATAATATAAAAAACAAAAGATATGGATTGGTCTGACACTAAAATAAATTCAGCTTTGGGGTTTTAATTTGTGGGAGTTGGTTTCTGACTAACTTAGACAACTTTTATTGTCATTTTGTATATACAGAGTGTATACAAAATGAAATTTCATTTTATACAGCTTCCAGACAGTAAATGAACATTTCCATTCCATAAAGTGCAGCAGTGATCAAATGTAAAGAGCAACCCGGAGAGCAGTAGGCCTCCTAAGAAGATGGCAGGATGTCAGTGAATGTTGAAGGTTGTTGGTGAAGTTTTTCTTTGTTTCTTTTTGGCCACTCAGGAGACAAACGTCTGTCTGATCTGTCGTATGATGGAGGATCAGGAGAGCTCATTCAACCCCACGTCATCGACCAGGCAATCAACAGCGCCATAAGCTACTTAGGGGCCGAGTCTCTCCGACCTCTGGTCCAGACCTCCCCGGCTTCCTCCGATGTCGGCCTCAGCTCCATGTACCCCCTTCACAAGTCTGCCACCGAGGGTCACGTTGGCACAGGCTTGTCGGCCAAAGACAGCGCCGCCGAGAACCTGCTGCTGCTGTCCAAGTCAGCCACCAGCGACAAGGACGGCTCGCCCAGCCACAGCGGCCAGGACTCCACCGACACCGAGAGCAACAACGAAGACCGGACAGGCGCGGCCACCGGCCTCATCTACCTGACCAACCACATCACTTCGGGGGTGAGGAACGGCGTGCTGCCGCTCGTGAAGGAGGAGCAGCAGAGGCAGTTCGACGCCATCAGGGCCGGCATTGAGATGGCCTCCGAGGGCTTCAAGGTGGTGACGTCGGATGGGGATCAGGTGAGGGCGTACCGCTGCGAACACTGCCGCGTTCTCTTCCTGGACCACGTCATGTACACCATTCACATGGGCTGCCACGGCTTCAGAGATCCATTCGAGTGCAACCTCTGCGGCCACCGGAGTCAAGACCGATACGAGTTTTCGTCTCACATAACCCGGGGGGAGCACCGCTACTGAGCAGAGAACACACAATACCACGTAAACATCTGCAATAAAAGTGTAGAAATACGTTCTGTAAAATACACTGGAAGTTTTTAAACCATGATGCATGTTTGTTGATATATGGATATATGACTATTAAACCTTTTTTTTTCTTTTTTTAGATAGAAATGTTTCAGAAAATATGAACAACTGTTGTAGAAAGTGCAGCCAAAATATCAATGGACCATTTTTTTATTAAAATGAACAGGAAAACAAAAGACTTGCACCAAAATATAAATAAATAAATCAATGCAAGCAAAACACTGCAAACACTGGAGTTTAATACAATCAGTAAAACCTAAAAAGGTGAGCAGCTGCAAAACGTCTCAATCTGTCACCTTTAGCTTGTCTTCGTGGTATTATTTATGAAACATTTACATGCTTGTCTATTTTTTTTCCCTTATATTTATTACAGTGATCAATGTTTTGTGTTGTAGAGTAGCATCTTTTTTCTGTTCAGCTGTACTAAAATGTGTGTGAGAGGAATTTTGTGTCTGCTGCTGGAGGCTGTTCATGTAAAGGATCGGACTGAATCTGCTGTACTGGAAACTAAAAATAAAGTTACCATCATTTGAAGAGAGGGTTATGCTTTCATGATGTCAATAAAGGATATTTTATATATGCAAACGGAGTGGGTAAGTTTTCTTTAAGAAAAGTCATTTATATGTCAAAATCCTTTAATTAGGTAGAAAAAAAAATGATTGGTGGAGCTTCACTCTCTGACTTTGGGAAATCTTTAAGTATTAATGTCAATCAAGATGCCGCTCGGTTCAGAGCTGTCAAATCAATTCAAGAAATGCCAAGTGACTGACGTCCGAGTAAATAAAAAGAAAAAACAGTTTGGAGAAAATGTAGATAGAATAATTCTATGATATTAATATTTTAAGTTTGTATTTTTCATATCATCTGATAAAGTAGGTTTACCTTAATAATAAGTTTTAATTAGAAAATATAATTCAATTATTTGGTTACCAAATTATTAACTATTTATTCGTTATATGCGGCGACATAATTCCAGGTTCAGTTTTCATTTTAATTATCATCTGACGGCTCATTAATACCTAAAACTATTTTTTTCATTTTTATTTTACAATCTGCAACTAAGCTATATGTTTTTAAAACATTATTTGCCCTGTTTTTTTAAAAATAATTTATGAATATTTCAGAATCATCAAAGGAATCCCAAGGATTTTTTTTAAAAGCCTATTTTCTGAATTATTGTCTTATTTATAAAAGCAAAGTTGTAATATTTAACAGTAATTATGTGGAAAAGCAACTTATTGACTGGTTTGTAATAACCGACAGCAAGTCTTTTCCATCACTGTAGAAAATCTTTGCTGACTCTTGCTTGAAGATTTTTTTTAAAGGGGAAATATCCTTCAAATTTCACTTTATTAAACTCTTCAATATATTTTGTTGTCTAAAAGTCCAGAATAGTTGAATTTAATGTCTCCAGGTCTTGCAGCGTTATCATAGATGCTGAATGGTTTATATTTTAGTTTTCTCCATTCTCTATTATGTTTTATTAACTGCTATGTTTCTGCATTTCCTCTTCTAGGCTTTCAGCTAATCAGTCGCTGATTTTTTTTTTTTTACCCTGCCAATATTTTTGGAGTTCAAGTTTAAGGATACCAAAGGAAGAATCACATAACTGTATGTGTCGGGTTGTTTGGTGTATTAACACACACTAGTCATTTCAGAACCTCCTGAAAGGGAATTTTAGGCTTTCATTGAAAGGAATGTTGATCAGTGGTGAAAGTTCCTCTTTGTTTCTGTGAAGCACTTTAAGAGACGAGGGCCTCGGTCTGATAACAAAGCAGTAAGCTGCAGATAACTTAACTAAAATAAAAAAAGCTTCACTATTGCCTAATATAATTTACTGGCTTTTGTTTTGATAGCAGGTATTGTGCCTTCTGCCCACAGGTCATGGCTGTGGGCTCCTCTAGTAGCTGTCCTTTGTGCGTTAAAACAATTTTTACTAGGGATGCACGATATAATCGGCCCCCTATCGGTATCGGCCTGTATCGGCCTTAAAACTGAATATCGGACATCGGCACCACCGATATTTAACCCGATATTTGATCAGCTTCTGAGTTTCTAAAGTCTAAAAAAAATAAAATAAATACTACTTCTTCTTCTTCCTCAAAAACTTCTTTTACAGACTTAAAAACTTCTAAAGACGAG